GTGGACTGATAATACAGATTGCAAAATTACAGAACTATAACTACATCTTCCACCTAACTTAGTACAGCTACAGAGCCTAGCGTGAATTGATCAAATTGTAGAGCGTGAACTATAAGGTTCTCCACACCTTGGGCCAGTGCTAATGGTGTAGTGGTATAGAATAGATTTTAGATTAAAATCCCTACTGAGTCAACGACAATGAGGCCGGCAAAGACGAATTCTTCACCTTCAGGGGTGTCGGTGTAATCGCTCAGTATGCTCTGCATATCTGGGATAGCCAAGAAGAATCGCATCCAAACCGAAGCCGAAAGCACTCACAAGCACAACTGAAATCGAGGATTTATCATTGTCACGCGAGCCCTCCACCTCAATCTTACTACACCACCTCGTCTCAAATACCGATAATGGCGTTACTCCAATTACAATCGGGCATTTGACTCCTCAAAAACCGGCCATCTCCCACTACACATTTACGATGCTTTGTATACCGGCGAGGAGGAAATTAAGTCATAATCTACAAAGCTCGGGTCTTGGTACATGTCAGATAACTGGAAGGCCTGATCTGTGACAGGCGAAGTGTATGTAATTTAAAGTAAAAGATAACTCAGTAAAAACAATTTAGTTCCTATTTCTCCCGGAATTCTAGGAATATATACACTGATCATGATTGACTTGATCTCTTGATCTCTAAATATAGATATGCGCTAGGAATAGAATAAGCTGTGGTTCTAAATACAGAATGCAAGCACTGACCGAAACAAACAACCCACGTACGTATGGACAGTCCCTATTTTTGACCCGAGACATTTCCATGTCTAACTTCTTCGGTAGTTATTCTTAGCCTTCGACAGTGTATGGGGGACCGTTGCTATAATGGGGCTTTAAATCTTGAGGGATGAAAGGCAGCTGGGACGTGAGACGAACGAGCGAAGAGGACACAAATGTGCATGCTGGAACGCACATTTTTCGAGTATTTTCGACTTAGGGGTGTCTGTGGGCGCAGAGGCAACGATTTAGGACAGTGCTACCGACACTCTAAAAACTTGCGACAATGGAAGGTGTTTTGGTCCGCCTCCTGGTCGTCATCTCTCCAAATTAAAGTCTGGGTAGCCTGGACACCTACCTCACTCGAGAAAGGGAGGACAGTGAGGCCATATCTCACGCGGCGGCTATATACAAGATGACAAAGGCATGTTAAGGTAGCCAAAGGTTTTTTCTGTTTTCCCTCTGGTGGATATTAAGGGTTGAGGGAAGGGTGAAAGTCCCTAGCACCAAGGTCTCGAGTGGTATCAGCGAATGCACCCACTACATGAGTATTCCAAATGTCAAACTGAGTTATCATCGTATATAGTCGTCGGCGAAGCTAGTCTACTCCGTGTCATGCTCGTTGAGTGCAGGGCTTGTACCCGACACGGATAAACTTACATTCATTCAACTACTATGAGGGACGGTGTTGTGGTGTAGGTAGGGCTACAACGCATCACTCTAGACAGCAGTTGTACTGAGCCATAACAGAATTATCACAAACAGCGTGTTCAATGCAAATTGACGTGGGAATGCTGCCGAATTTTTGGCTGTGAGCAGTGGAGCATTTGTCGTAAATAACGAACAGACTTTGCTGCACCCGTACTAGCAAAGTACCTTTCTTTTTTTTTGCATAATATTTTAATTGCGTATGTAGCTATCTAGCTATGACACAATATCAAATAAAAGTACAGAATAGATGATTCAACGTAAAGGAAGAGCACTCATGCCTCAGATTTCATTTGCAAGCACTACTTCGAAGTTATGGTGGCTTTTTCTTCACCCCAAGTCAACCCTCATCCGTGAATACCCACCCAGGGGAACGTCTCAAAAACCCTGAGTTATCCAGACATGCCTCCGTCATCCATCAACTTTTCTCCGCGCGAAATGTAATCTGAGATTTCTCCTTCCCAAGTGGAGTAGGTGCCCAGGCTACTCAGACTATACCGGAGAACACCACCAGGAGGCGGATCACAACACCTTCCATCGTCTGCTTGTTTTTATAGTGTCAACTGCACTCTCGCAAGCGAAGTCTTGGCGTGCACAAAGCTCAATTCGTAAAACTTTTGCCAAAATTCACTCCCATCGAAGTTATATCCTTCCTTTGTATCATCTTGTTAACTTGTCCTAATCCCACTCACGTCCATTCCAAAAAACTGTCTTCTGGATTTGTGCGCCACGCTCTGCTTCCTTCGTCGGGTGTAAAAATCGGCGTGGGCGTGTATTTGGTGGTCAACTGAGGCCAAAGAAATTCTTTAAGAGGTATGGTCATTGGGATGAGGTTGTACTAGGTCGTACTTGTAGATTTTATGAGACTTGAGTAGGAGTCTATCTCGTTGGTAGTGAAAAATTGACGTGGTGGAGTATTTTGAATCATTGCCGCGTGGGCCAACTTCTTTGATATTGCGAAATTTGACTGAACTTGGGTCTGGGAGGATATATCACTCCTAGGTTCGTTGAGGACACCACTGACAGTTGGTCAGCCTTCGTCCTCCATATATGGCTATTTTGTTGTGATTGATGACATAACAACCCATGTATCTGGTTATTGTGGATCACAGAGATGTAGAATCTGATGGTTAAAACAGAACAGACTAGAGTCAGAAAGAATAGAACAGGATGGAATAGAGTGTGATGACTCAGAGCTGAATGGAACTGAGCGACTTGGGATATGGAAAGCAATAGAATGTGGTATACGTATATAAAAGTAGTGATTCTCCAAGCTTGAATGAGAGTAAGCAAGTCTACTAATTCATGACAATCTACCTCTATCTTCAAGTCTCAGTGGGGGGACGATTCTCAACACTTGTCAGTGGTGTCCCCTACGAACCTCCAGCTCTCACTGTAGAGTCTGCAGAGCCGAGATTGAGAAACACCTTATCAACTTTGAGCTGAGTTATCTCCCCCTCTGTCAAAGATACGCTTCCGATAACTCATGAGACGACCAGGACGATGATGATGATGATGCTGGAAATAAGGAAAGATAATGCGGTACTAAACGCTACAACGGTCGTCAAAGATGCCCTCGTTATATTACAACATGTGCTACCCACAGGCGGGCGAACAAAAAGCCCACGAAAGCAAAGCAAAAGACCCTTCCGCCCTCAAGAAAAGCAGATTTCGACTTGTCTACATTATCGCCCCTACTAATCATAACTTCCGAATCTACTAGCCAGGAGGGCATCTGAAATCCATGAGTTATTCGACGACCCCACGTCCGTAACGACTTTTGGATGCTAGGCTAGGCTCCTTCACGAGTGTCACTCTCGACCCAGACTTTTCTGACATCCTTTCACGACCCACGATTTGTCCTGCGGCATGAATCAGGGGAGGAGTAAGGAGGAGGCTAGGAAGGTTGAGAAACACTCTTAGGTATACACAGGTCTGCTGCGCCCGGCAGGCCGGCCTCTTCGTCATAGGAGAGCCCCGCACCCAGTGGTTTTTGAGACTTTTCCCTGCAGCTACACACCCGCAAATGGCTATCGTTTCGTTGGCTGACGAGGGGAGATAATGACGGAATAACGGCTCCTCTTAGTGTGTACTCGAATGAAGATCTATGGGGGTATTACTGTTGGAAAGAAGTCGTGAAGGAGGTAAAGGAGGGAGTACACTACCCGAGGCATAGATACTCCCGGCCTGTGGGCAGAAAGGACCTACATGTCCTTACATAGTTATAGACTTTTTAGGACAATAAACATTACTCATCTAGTGGATGATATTTACGTTAAAGCGCTTTAAAACCAACCTCACAATTAATGGGAGACAATCTGTGTGTATTCAACATATCCCTGTCTTTACCACAACCGGAAGCACCAATTTCAACAGTATCTAAATTATGAATCATCTTGTTAGCATGAATCAATCTTTCTCATTTTTGTTCCAAATAAACTTCTTGCAGATATTTTACGCTACGCTTTATTTCTACAGTCTTGTGTAATTATCGGTGTAGGCCTATATTTGGGGGCTAGCTAAGGTCAGAAAATACAGAATGAGAAGTGTGTTAAATCAAATGGGGATGTACTTGGTCGTGCCTGTATTCATGATTAGGCTTAGGAATTAATCAATCTCGTTGGATGGGAAAAATAGATTAGGTGGAGAGTCATGAAACATTACTTCGAGGGTCAAAATCTGTATATTAAAGATTTTTCACTAAGCGTGTGTCTGTAAAAATATTCAATTTCCGTACGTAGAGGACACTGCGTATAGGTTTTCAATCTCTACACCCTTTTTTGGTTGATAATATGTACACCCGATGAATGAAAAACCTGGAAAACTACCCTTCTTTGGAACTAGGGGCTACCTTTAAAAACCTGATGTATAAGGCAAGAAGTTGATACGTCTGAAGGAAGACATTTCATCTTACCCACATACAACGATAAATGTCGTGCGCCAATTTTTTTATCAGTAAGCCATGAGGTAAATAGTTACATGAATGATTTTCCATGTGATAAGTTCGACCGCAAATAAGTGATGGCAGCTACTAGATCCAAGCGTCCTCAAGTTGGCTCAACACTATGGATAGAGGAAGAGGAAAACGCTGTCGCTCATATTGGCGAGACAGAAGTAGAGGAGTTTGAATTTTCTGCTTTTAATGAGCTGGAATGGCTCAACGAGCACATGGCCGAAATATTTTTTCAAGACCAGGTGTATGTTATAACGCTTTCTGCAGAACTCTGGCTGACATTGATGCTAAAGTGATGTTGCTGAGATGTTCAAGACACCAGGAAATCTGAGAGGAAAGACTCCTAGAACTGTTAGGTCTAACAGGAAAAACTGCACTACACTAAAGCGACCGGTTCGTTTGATTTGATCCCAGATATGAATCTTTATTAAAAAAATAATAGCCACTTTCAGACGTCTTCCTAAAGACTCTAAAGGATGTACGAAGTCCTACCAAGCAAGATTCACATTTCAAGAGTGTCGAAGAGGTCTCTGAAGCCGAAGAGTCACACAACGTATTAACTTTACGAAATCAGATGTTCAGTCCAAAATTGATTAATAATGGCATTTCCAAGAAAGCCCTCAAGAATACATCAAAGGATGGTAGCCAAGAGAACTTAAAGCATTTCCAGCTCCGCTCTCCATCATTACAGCAAACCGAAGCTGATGGTTCGTACAATTTTCTTAACGAAAATTATGAGAATGACGAGAATGACGAGAATGACGAGAATGACGAAAATGACGAAAATGTGATAATTCTAGGACGAGACTCCGATCATTTGACCACAAGTTACCGACGCCAATTGCCTTCCAAGCAAGACCAAGTGTACATTGGTACTACCAGCCATGGCATGGATACGATAGATGTAGATGACTTAGTTGAAACTTCCCCACAAATAATCGAAGGGCCATTTTACCCCGAAATCAATCGCATGGGATCGATGAAGCAATGTACTCAGATAACTTCGTTGCAGAAGACCCCAAGTACATCTCCAGGAAAAAAATCATCTCACAGGCTAATATCACCGGTAGAACGGGATATTTCAACACATGGAAGAAAAGATATATGCATTAAAACAGTAGAAGTAAATTCCCAGTCTGAAGGCTCAAGCCCATTACGACCAATGGTCCGCAAAAGTAGTTTGAACTTCGCCTCTCTGCCGGCGCGTGAACCCATAACAAAAAAGAAAAGCATTAGTAACCAGACAATACGTGCTAGCCAACAAGATATCTCCAGGACAAGTCTTCTTCGAAATCAAACAGATGAAATACTTGTGGAAAGCGATATGAAGGAAAATAATTTATGTGGAGAAGAACACGAGTGGTCTGAACCTGATAAGAGCAGAACTATCAATTCAGAAATCAACTTAATGTATCAAGGTGGCGAGAACTCTAGCGATAGCCCCCAGAATCAAATAATAAAATTTGGTAAATTTCAGAAAGACCCTCAATTATCAAAATCAGCAGCTTATTACCCTATGGTGCAGGCATGCCTTGATCCATCGAACCATTCTAACAGCATCGAACTTGTAAATGAGACAAATAATGCATCGCCTATGAGCAAAGCAATAACACCAGAAGAAACCTGCAAGAGCCAGGATAACAGTAAAAATACTGAGATTGTATCCACAACGACCCAGATATTGGACAGTTCATCTCTCGACTCAAATGATGAAATCTCTACATCTGTTTGCATTGCTCAAAAAGAAAATGTTAATGAAATATCCACGTCTTGTTATCCTGTTCTTGAAAGCGCATTGCTGAGTCCCTCACCAAACCGAGAAAGCTCACATCTTAATTCTACAAACACAACCCCATCTAACCGGATAAAGTCAGTCTCTACTAGCTCGCTTCCAGTAAATGCAGAAGAGCAATGCCCCCAATTAAATCAAAAGATATCAGTATCAAACCCGAACCTAAATCATCTAGTTTCTTTACACGAAGATAGATGTAGTACAACGTCTGGATCTCTGCCTCGATCATTTCATGGAAGTCCTTTCAAAGCAGCAAAAGATAAAGTTTCTTCCCTCTACAAAAGCTCAAAGGCTCTTTTTGCTGGTGGACCGGTTCTCAGTCCTGAATTTCGAGAAAGTAAGCCGTTTTCAGTTCCTGGTCAGTCAGAGACAATCGAAAAACAATTTTTCGGATTTAACAATCAGAAATCTTCGGAATATCAGCTTTCCCTGCCAGACCTACCTTCAGAAAAAAAAGAAAATGACTATCCACACCAATCTATTCACAAAATAGTCACTCACAGCCCGCAAAAATCTAAAACTCCGTCGGAGCGAGTTGAAAGCAATTTAACATATGATCAAGATTCGTCAAGTAGTTATGTAAGAGGCGAAGAATCTACATTAAAGGATACAGAGGAAGCAAATAAGCGCCAATATGTGCAGAATAGAACATTTGCTGCAGAAAGAGCAAGTAATAAATTTATAAATGAGAGGAACTGGAACAATGAGCATGACGAGACTTCTTGTGTTTCGCGAATGAGTCCTAGGAAAGCTAAAGAAACTATAGACGACGAAATTTCATCAGTTGTAGACTATACAGAACCAATTCTCAGCAAAGACATTGAGATTATAGATGCGCCCAGCGCAATACCACAAACCACTCAGCCTCGACCAAAATCAAAGATAGGTCGCTCCAATACAAAACGACCACTTAAGCCTACCAAGGAACTAATAAAATCTAAGCCTCCAACAGTTATAAGGGTCGATACTGGGTCTCAACGTGGAAATTCGTATCATCCCTCAAATGCCACATTATCTGCAACTTTACAGGATTCATTTACTCAAATTAACGCAGTTCCGAACACCAAAAGACACAAAGCAAGTACGAGCTCAGTCCAGAGTAAATCCTCATCAAACAATTTAAAACTAGCTACCAATAAGAACAACGAAGCTATGGCGAGAAAAATAGAGCAGGTAAAAATTAATTTTTTTGTGAATTTACACTACGCTAACACGTGGCAGGATAAACTTGCAGCCTCTCGAAGACGAGAAGCTAAAATGGAGGTTGAACAGCAAAGATTTGCAATTAATGATACAGATTGCAATAATCTGGAGCAACAGCTAGTTAAAGAGACTGAAATCCAGCGAGAAAACCTCACCGGCATAGAAAAGACAGCAAGTGTCATGGAGCCCAAGAAGACAATTTCTCGCCAAGCTACTGAGAAGCGTCGCATTGATAATGATAGAGTCAAACAGATCCAACATCCTATATCTCATGCTCGAATCAAAATTGGTGTTAATCTAGAAAAGTTCCCACCCGAGAATGGGAGTTCAAATTCAGGCTCGTCAAAACCAATTCTATCTGTACAAAACTCATCGGAAATAATAAGGCCTGGCAGCTTTAGAAACAACCCTAACAAAGTCCCACCAAAGCGTCCTTTAGCTCAAGATAGTGAACTATACCACACGAATCCTTCAATGTACCCTCATAGAACTTCGCATCAAGGTATTGAACATACAGTCAAACGTCATAAAACCGGTGAATTCGATGACGATAAAAATCGACTGAAAATGACGGCCCCGCCAATAAGGCAATCTAGTATCCGTCAAAAGGTGCGTTTAAAAATTATAATGGTATTCAAATTAATACTTTTTAGGAAATTCCCTCAAAATCTCTCTACACTAACGGCTACACTAATTCTATACAGTCAACAAATCTACAACGTTCAACTACCACTAATCAACATAGCTCAAATCAAATTAAGCCATCGAACCCTATTGATATGACCCAAATTTTCAAGGGACCTATTCAATTCGCCACCCCTTCAACACAAGCTATTCTACAACCACACAAAACCCCTGCTCGAGCAGCCAATATAAATAACAGTAATAAACTAGTAATTAAAACTGGTGGTAAGACTGTTGCTAAAACATCACCACGTTACCCAAATGGGGAGACTATTGATTTGCCCGAAATTCTTACAGATTCCGAAAACGAAGAATCAGAAGAAGAGGCCATGAGAATAAGACCAGGATGGACAGATACTGCCGAGATACAGAGACAATTAGCCCTCCAGGAGAGCATAGATCCAGCCCAGGTCTTTGGTCAGCCAGGTCCGCTGAACATGGAAGAAGTTTTCTATAAAAGTAAGGAAAGGTTTCATAAATTCCGTGCAAGAACGAGCAGCGCCAACTGGAGTGGTACCGATAAACTCACGGAAGACGAGATACAAAGAGATTTAGAAGGGCGAGAAAGGCTTAGACGACAGGGTGGGTGGACCTTCGACGCTATTGTTTAAATTAAATATTCTTGGAGTCGACAGGAAAATGAGGAGTAATGAGAATAAATTTTGTAAAGTTGTGTCACATAAACCCTACCTTTTTTTTGCGCGGTGGGGGCTAAACGCATCAGCCTTAGCGTTGGGTGAATACAAATTGGACGGCGTTGAAATGGATATTACTCGTTCTTGAATCAGATGGTTTGAAAGAAGGTACATTTTTAGATTTGAAATACAAGATTCCTGTGAATATAAAGACTTGCCTGACAGGCCGGCGTTAGTGTTTTCGAGAGCCATGTTCGAACACTGCATCTAATTTGACATTACGTGGGTTGTTGATCTTAGAAGATTCAACATTACCAATAAGATCATCTGAATTTGAACTAGTCAAATTATATTTATTATGTCTTGTGCCCTGCGCCTCGGCTGAACACCTCGATGGCACCCCCTAAGAAATTAGTTTCTAATAAAGCGCCTTAAATTGTGCCAACTGTTGATGTTACCAAAAAAATGTAACAAACTTTTTGGAAAGTGTGATGAGAGTTATTAGACTCCTGTAAGATATTACTTTAGAGAGTTTGGGTCTAGAATTGATAGATCAATGTGAAAATGACCTACTTGTATTTTTTTACGCCAAAGTAGTACGTCTTAGTCTGGGTCTTCCTGACTTGATACTGAGATAGAAATGTCATGTTCCTACACTTCCAAAATCTCGATTACTCGTGTGGATCGAGATACGTGCTATAATTAAGGCCTCTGCATTAAGAGTGGGTGTAGTGTATCAACTATCTAGCACCTGACATTGGTTGTCATGTTACATGCATGCTGCTGGTTTACGCCTTCGCATGGTCTAACTGACGTAAGAACTTCCAACGGCTGTAACCCATTTCAATTTCTCTCACTCTATTAATCGAAGTGAATATGGTACGAATTGTTCTTAAAGTGTCGGTAACACGTCTCAAAATTTCGGTTGCAGTTCCGACGTACGCTCTGAGAGATGGCGTGAACTTAACACCTGTCCGAGTCGTCCCCGTCGACCTAGGGGCGGAATATCCTCTCCGAATCAGATACACTCAAATTCTCGCAAACCCATTACTTTATCTCACGAGGTTAGAATTTAGTTGTCTGCATCAAGTTATCCTCTTTAACGAGACCTAATACTGCCGAAGTACCATCAGGTTTCCAGGGACAAGACCCTAAATCCTTATTTCAATGACCTTTGCTCTCTTCAAAACATTCTATGGCCTCAAATGGCCTCCACATACACACCCATAAATTTATCAATGCCTGCTTGAGAAAAAATTTTGGTGCACAGACATGGGGGTCAGGTCTTTGGGAAAATATTGAAAGATATCAGGACAGAAGGGTAAGACGATACTAGAGATGGACATTATCTCGAAGGGTATTACATTTTGTATTTTAGAAAAGAGGTTTTCACAATAAGCATCGTGCACCACACAACCTCGATTGCATGAGTGCAGGCGAAACTATAGACAACGCCACGGTTGGCTAGATGGTCGTAGGTTACCTATGCAGATCTCCGAAGTAGAGTCTGGATAGCTTGGATATCAAGGCCACTTGAGACAGGAGAAAGTTGGTTTAAATTCAGCATGACTTAGTCACGTTCTCGCGGTGCTGATGTGACTGCTGTAGAGTGATTAGCTTCGACGTAACCCCCACTGGCCAAAAGGCACAATTATTTTTCAAACATTAGTCAGCGATTAAACTTTTTTTTGATTACTTAATATCGAGACGGCGCACAACGCTACACCACAGGGCCAAGTGCCATTTAGCTCAGTCTGTAAAGACTATCCGGCGTACCAGCGCCCTGAAAGAGATTGTCAAATTAAAAGGATGAATTCTAGCCACTACTCGGCGCCTCGGAAAGATGTAGAGAATTTTGTTGGTAAAACACGAAGCAATACAAATTAGTTGCCGTCACGAAGTCGGTGAATAATGTTAATTAACTGGTATCTCTTTGTCAAAGCTAACTAGCTGAATACAATACGATTAAAAAAATAAAAAAAATAAAAAAAATCTGGTATTTCGAAATACATAAAACGTTGTCCCTTCTTTTCTCTCTCCATCTCCCCTTCCTTCCTTTGCTCCAAGCGCCTCGCTAATGAGCTAAATAAGACTCCTGTCAGTGTCCTAACGACAACCTGAATACCGCAAATACATAGAACAATTCACACTGCCAAAATATGATCCTTTCACCGACAGATTTAAAGGATTTGCTTCCTCTGAAAACCTTCTAGGTGACACCCTTCAAGTCTTGAGTCCTTATTTGAACCACCTCCAAAGCTTCCATGGCTGAGCATCTCTCCCATCTTCACTCGCAGGTTCTGATTTCTTCACGTTACATTCATATCCAGCAACCCAAGTCTGGCGAACTCCGATAATTCCCCTTCGACAACAGTATTGGAAGAAAGGGTCGCGAGTCGTGTTGTAGCTTTGTTTGGCATTAAATAGGGACTTCAAAATTGTTTGGTGTATCGAGGGAGTGTAAGATAATCGGCTTGAACTCATTTCGGCTTGAATGGTCTTGATAATTTATTTTAGTGATTTTTTTAAGTTGAGAAATCTCTGCAGATTGGGAGTTCCGAGCAAAACTATCCCTGCACCTCCTCTGACAAGACTTTCATTCAAGAAAAAATTGATTCCACAGTTGGAGGATGGTTGAATCTTGGCCCCGGGAGAATGTTTCAATTTCAGGATCTTAGAGGACACTATTAATAGGGGTTCAGCCTTTGTCCTTCAATAATTATACTATTTGCTATTAAGGAAATGATGACCCCTCAGTCATTGAGGTTGTAGAGTACATTGATTTAAGTGACTACCAAAGGGCTTGACCCTCAATTTCTATGAGAACAAATATTGGCATATTTCAAAATTAAAATTTCTTAAACATGATTAGAAACTTCAGTTGGATTCACGAAGTCCTCCATAGTATTAGACTCAGTAGGGACTGTAATGAAATATCTCCCCTAATCTTAACTACCAATGTGAAACTAAGCACAGAATTTGTAGTCACGTGTGTTGGACTTTTTTGGAAATGGGAGAAGAAGATAACAAATCATCGAAGGGTTGCTTCTCTATTCTCTGGCTACTGGGTATCTATTAGACACTGAGGGTCAAATAAAAAATGTAAAGTAAAGTTGTATTGATGAAATCTCTGCTCCTCCACTCCTCTCCAGCAGTGATGCTATATACCCATCTGAAATTATCTCGAGGAGAGATTATCTTCTCCTCGTTTCCCAAAATTACATATGAAATATATTACATGTGTTGAAGATCAAAGGATCTCAAGTTAGAGCTTTGACTATCCTGAACATCCTGAACATCCTGATCACCATATCCCTGGTGAGATATCAAAGCTCGAGTTTGTTAATCCGACAAGATGTGTCATCCCACTATCCAATGATTCTCATTACCATATTCAGTAGGTTCCAAACCATCAGATGTTTGACAAAAAGCCTTTGGCTACCCTGAAATGCCTTTGCCATTTTGTATATAGGCGCTGCGCGAGATATGGCCTCACAGTCCTCCCTTTCTCGAGTGAGGTAGGTGTCCAGGCTACCCAGACTTTAATTTGGAGAGATGATGTTGTGTTATCCATGTAACTTACCATGGTACATGCTTTAGGTCGCGTCATAGCATATGCACGTGACTGTGGAACTAAACCGTAGGGTGTTTAGTGTGTAATGCATGTGTGATGCATGTGTGAGTATACTGGACCAAACTAGAACTAGATGGAATAGAGATAACGGAATCAGCGAGAGACTGATGGACTGAGAGAGAACGAGCTGGTCATTTCTCGTAGGAGAGAAATGATATCATAAGGGAATGTTCTAGCACTAGGCTGTGAACAACACAGTAAGTCTGGAGCAAGATATAAGGAGGTCTCAACCTCCGTCCATTCATTTGTAACTAAGTTTCCTTTATACGAGAATATAGAGTCAAGTCTTACATATCACGAGAACACACGCGACAGCGACTATAGAGACCTACTGTGAGCATAACTTCCCCAAGAGTATCCATCGTCCTGCTCCCATATAGCCTAGTTATTATAACAGGTTATGAGCCCGGAGTCCTTCTCTGTGGCACCTCGATAATGCTTTAAACCAGTCATCCTAACTTCTCCAAAGATATACACCACCTTACAATATGAATAAAAGCTCAGCAATCGTTTTGACCCCTGGAGTAAGCTTTGCGGACTGGGAATCGGATCTCCAGGCGGCCCTGATCAAGAAAGGTCGGTTAGCCCATGTATTTCATGACTTCGAGGAAATTCAACCGGCATTTCGACCTCGTGAACCGATCAGGGGAGAAAATCAAACCGACGACGAGTTTTGCAAGACCTCGGCGAAGTACGCGGAGGAACTTGCGAGGTGGAAAGAGGGAGAAATTGAGGCTAAAAATGTCCTGCTCCGACGACTAAGTCCAAGTGTTCGTCCCCAGAATTTTCGGCGAATGTCAGCGAAGCAAATATTCGACACAATAGCGACGACTCGAGAGGAAAGTGCGGCCACACCGTATGAGAGTGCCGTCAGAAATCTAATCAACACAAAGTTCACAACAATCGAAGAATACTGCGATAAGTTTATGCAGCACTACTTGAGCGTTAACAGTGCCGCTGAGTCAATGCATCACCAGCAATCTATTTCTGACTCGGACAATCCATACACTGTACGCCATGGGCTAGCAAGTTTTCTTTTCGTTTTGGGAACAGAGAGTGTTGATTGGCTGGATACTTGGAGGCAGACCAAGATCCTAGACGGAAAGAACAGGTATGTGCCGCTCGAGTCGATGATGTCAACGCTTCGCCAAGTTGGACAGTCGAAAGGGAAGTCGTCGGGGCAGGTGATGGTGATGACTGGTGAGGGCGAGAGGAACGATGGAGGGAAGAAGAAAGCTGTTGGGGGCCCAAATGACTACTGCGTGCTGTGTACCCATCAACACAGAAACAAGAATTGTTTTAAGCAGCACCCAGAGTTGAGGCAAGGGAAAAAGTCGAAAAA